AGTTTTCCGTTTGTGTGAAACTGTAACTTTAATCTCAGCCAAACCGATTTACTCAGGAACAAATCAAACCCTGAAAAAAGCCAAACAATAAGATTTTTAAGTTGTCTAAGTGACTCATTTATCATGTTTAACCTGAGTAGCAAAAAGACCGCAGCGATCTGAAAATGATGCGTCGGGAGTGCGCTGTTCTCGGCGGCTCGAGTGAGCCTCGAGCTCCCGGTCAGCTGTCGAGCTGGTGGGTAACAGACGTCTCCGAAAACGTCGGAGCGCTTTTAATAATAATAATAATAATAATGGATTTATATAGCGCTTTTCAAGGCACCCAAAGCGCTTTACAATGCCACTATTCATTCACTCTCACATTCATACACTGGTGGAGGCAGCTACGGTTGTAGCCACAGCTGCCCTGGGGCAGACTGACAGAAGCGAGGCTGCCATATCGCGCCATCGGCCCCTCTGGCCAACACCAGTAGGCGGTAGGGTAAAGTGTCTTGCCCAAGGACACAACGACCAGGACGGCCAGGGATCGAAGCGGCGACCTTCCGGTTACAGATGCGCTCCACGAGCACGGTCACTTTTGCAAATATGCGATGTCTTGATAAACCGAGCAGATATTTGAAGTTTACTCGGCTACATTCACGCCTGAAAATATCTTAAAGGTTTATTTTGTGACCCAGAGAGTAATAAAAGTTACGTTAAATCTAAGTAACTGCCACCATTGTTGGAAACTGCAGTTGTCTGGGATATGGTGGGTCACGAAGGATACGCCCAACCCATCCTTCAAATCTGGGGAAATGAAGGACGCATTTTTGTTGGCTACATTTGGAGGAGTGTACAAATCTGGACAGCCTTCATCGCTGTAACGTAATCGGCCTACAAATGCAGCCTCAGAATTTGGACACAGATGTCACTACCCGATCCGTACATGTGCAGGTCGTCTTCTTCTGTTCGTTTAATGGCAGTTTACTCCCCAGTGTACGAGGATACCGCCACCTGCTGACCGAGCGAACGAGCCCGTAAACTGAACTTGCGTCATTACAAATCCTGCTTGTGTATGCGTGTTCAATTTGATGTAGTGATAGTCGAGCGTGTTTATGCTCGTCTGTGTGGAGAGGATTGGTTGGAATAGTGACGATGACGTCCGCTGTCACTGGCAGTTGTCAGTAAACACTTAACCTGGCGTGAATTTGTTTGTATACGGACGTATCCGTTGTTTAAATGTCGAAAAGGAGGCAGAGCTGTCGAGAAATGCTAGGAGCTAACTGGGCGCTAACTGTCGCAATGTTGGCAGAGAGGAAGTGACGAAAGATTTTCGCAGGCGTGGTTTCGCGGTGCGTTTCTCAGCATGTTTGGAGATTTGGGAAGTGAAATGTTTAGACATCTCTGTGAGGACTATGCTACTGCACTGGTGCGACCATCAGGGACTTATGGGGACAAAGTGCCCGTACCCACGAGTTTGAAGACGTTTAGTGTCAGGGTTACAGTCAGGTTAGGGTTAGGCGTTCATTTCAATGTTTAGGGAAAGCATTATGTAGATGTCCCACTAACGTATGAAAACGTGTGTGGAATTAAAAGGAATTCTAGTTGAACATCTAAACCTGTGACCTTAACACAGGATGGTAAAGATCACAGCCTGTGGGCCTCAGGTTAACCAACACTCGTCTCACTTTTCCGTTTGCTGATCTGGCTCTGCAGAACTGTAGCAAAGTAGCTGCGTGGTAACATAACGTTGGTCTGTGTTTTCAGAGCTTTCAGCAAACGTTAAAGACTCTTCAGCCACGAATAAAATGCTTCCAGATGTATTTACAGTCACTGTGATGTGGGCGTGCCTCAGACAGGCTGTCTGTCCGGGGTGGGAATAAAAAGTAACTGTACATGTTGGAAACGAAGCCAAACGTTCCTGCGGTGTTATAACCTTACTTCCAATGAAATGACTCTCATATCCTCTGTACATGACCTGCAGGTAACCAGTGGACCATTTAGGAGTGTTAAAGCTACATGTTTCCCTGGGGCTGGAGGGAAAACAGTCATGGCCAATCTGGGACTTGCATTTGTTGGGTGGATGTAAATTCTTTGCTCTTTGCTTTGTCTGTCATGTTTGGTAGTTGTGCACGCTGTTTTAGGTATGTAGCATCATTTATATGCATGTCAGCTTTATTTTGAAACTTCTGTTGCTGCCTTTCCCATCTGGTGTTTCTGTACAAGCGAGCTATGGGGTCTGGTAGTTACTGCTGATGTCCTGCTGTTGCTGGACTAACTGTAAATCTGTAGTCTTTGACTGCATCTGGTAGGGCTGTGCGACATGACCAAAATCTCCCGATATAAGACATTTATCTTCCCATTAACGATATGAATCACAAAACGGTGCATTTTCTGTAAAGCCTGTGACTCTCGAGCGACTCGACCTGTGTGAAGTGTTTTCAGCTGGCCGTCGAGTGTTTTCACCGATGCATGAAACAATACATTTTTGTCTCAACAACATTAACATGAATGCAACACATGGGGAAAAAATTGCCACCATAAAATATCGATGTTTTGTTTTTAGATTAGAATACGTAGGCTCCACGGAGTCTGCCTCGTCCTTCTGGATGTTCATCCTCTACCTCTGTAGGAAGTGTGAACAAATCTGGGGTTGTAGTCGGGAATCAGATGTCTTAGCTGGTTTCTTTCCAGGTGAAGGACAGCTCCCCTCGGTGTAGTTCTTGTGTCAAAACCTGCTGTTGTCTCACTCGATAAGCTTGTTATAAAACAGGCTCCCTCAAGCTTAAAGTGATCAATGACTTTTAACAGCATCCACTCAAAATGAACTTGTACTCGTCAGTGAGCATATGTCATCAATGCTGAGCTGATGACCCAAGCATGAGACTGAACACTGTGCTTGCTGCCGCTGAAGCAGTACAGTCCTTTCAGCGCCTCTCTCTGTCCGTCGCTAGCAAAGTTGACCCAGACAGTAAAGCTAGTTTTCGGCTACGAGCCCGACAGGAACCCGGCGTGTTAGCCAGAGGTCCCTTTAGCACGGCTCGGAGCCTGGACCAGGCCGAGGTCTGAGCACAAACATGCTGAGGCTGTGTTAGTTCAGTGACACAAACACAGTGATAGCAGCAGTGCTGCCACGTGTCTGCACAGACTGAGAGGCCAATGTGTTTGTGCTCGTTCAATGAAGGGCTTCAGTTAAGATTGAGAGAATCTGCATTCACGTTTGCAGTCTCATCAGACAATATTTAAAATAAAGAAAAACACTTCATTTTTGGAAATATTTGTGGATGTTTCTTTTGTGCTACTTGGATACTTAAGCCGCCCTCCAATGAGGGCCAAGTAAGTTGAGACTGAGTCTGTTTGCTCCATCTTTTCTTTGGTGCGTTTCAGCGGACACACCAATGAGCTGGCCGTTGGTTTGCACACCAATCGATGTGGCATTGCTATATTTGCTCTTGAGTTACTTTGTTTCTAATATGATCGTATGTAGAACCTGCGGCAGATATTTAATAGTGCATTTAAAATAAGACTCGTAGGAACACTTCTCATAACTGCAAACTCCTTTTATCCCTACGCTGCAACCTGGTTGCACTGCTCTGGAGGTGCACGTGTTACGCTGTAGGGTTGAAATAAGTCTGCAGTTACAGTGTGGACGTAGATTTCCTGCAGAAAAATCCTGCTGTATAGCCGTACTGATATGGACTGGGTAATGTGTAAGGAAGGCAAGGATGGATCTATCAAACTACAGAGGGCTGAATTCAAAGACAGCACAATAATCAGGTCAGTTCATGTTGCTGACATTTCATTGCAACAGCTCACATGACAGGCGAGCGTGGGTGCAAGTCGGCGAACCCAAAACCTTCATACTCTCGCCACATGAGGCTGGGCGTTGTCGAGCACCAGAGGAAAGGGAGAGGCCAAAATAGGTGCTGATATTTACAACCAGATGTCATTATCATTACTCGTGTTGTGTTTCTACATTTTGTTACACTTTGAAAACACAGTATCGTACAAAAATCCCTGATACATATTTATGTGTAAGCTACAGCAGGCCTACCCACCGATTGTCCACGTTGGAGTACGAGTCGAGGACAGGAAGCCTGCGGTGGTGCACATGCTGAACATCTGCTCCATTTGTCTCTGCACAGCCCCTCCCAGATGTGAACAGACTTCTAACAAGTATTACCGAGCAGCCTAGACCAACGCTGTATCATAACTGGTAGAGGTGGGAATCACCAAACATCCCACGATACGATATTATCACGATACTTAACGCACGATACGATATTATTGCAATTTTTTAAAAATATTTTGTGATATTCAGATTCTGTATATAAAGGTAAACTTTATCAATATTCATTTTATCTAATATCAAAGTCTCGCACTCAGTCTTTCTCTCATTTCAGTTTTATTGTTGACAAACTGAACGGTTTGTATTACAGTCTAGTCCAACTGAACTGAATGCAACCATCTGGTACAATTACAGCTATTCTGAACTATGCAATATGAAAACTATGCAGCCCCTTCAGCAACTGAAGAATTTGAAAGTAAATTAAAACAAAATATAATTTTACATTAAATAAAAAAGTTTTAAACTTAATTAAAATAAAACATGTTTATTGCTGCCATAAAAAACAGTTAAACACATTTGACAGTGTCAGGATTCTTGCTCAGAAAAAGATCAACATGCTCTGAAGTCAGAGCAAAAACTTTTTTGTAACAAAATATCGATTTCTGCTGTCCCTGCATCGATACATTATTAGCAAACAAAATATCACGATGCTACACAGTATCGATTTTTCCCCCACCCCTAATAACTGGTGTCACACTAAAATCTCGTTGTGGTCTTTCCTGTCATAACAATGTGAACGACCAGATCGAGCATTCTCTGTTCACTGAGTGGTAGCTGAAACATGCTTGGCACTACTTTAAGGTAACCCATTAAAGTTCGCGTTTAAGGAGGAGGGGAATGTGTGTCCCCTGTCAGGAGGCAGCTAACTGAACGTATGCTGTTTTTGTTCCAGGTACAAGCCCTTCTTTCCTTTCCAAGTGCAGCCTCTGCATGGTTCAGCCTGTGATTTGGATCTGTCAGTGCACGACAGCCGGCTGGTAGAAGGACGGCTCAAAGTCAGCCTCATTGAGTGCAGCAGGTGAGACACTTCATCTCTGTTTGTAGGTTGTCACACAGCAACTTTGATCTATAGTTGTATAACTGGGTCCCTGTACAAAAGTACATTAAAATACTAAGACGTGAAATGAATCACAACAGAACTTAAATACATGTTGGTAACTTTTCAACGTGGCCATTCTTGTCATGTTAGTGACACCGGCGTGCATTAAAATCTTTAGCTGATTTTATGATTTTGATTATTAAAAAGGGGAGCAGGGTGGAGCCTGAGTTTGAGTCCACCACCAGGCCGGGGTGTTCTCCCAGACGTCTCCGAAAACGTCGGAGCGCTTTTGAAAATATGCGGTGTCCTGATAAACTGAGCAGATATTTGAGGTTTACACAGCTACATTCTCGCCTGAGAATATGTCAAACGTTTATTTTGTGACCCAGAAAGAATAATAAGAGTAATATTAAAACTAACTAGCTGCCGCGACAGCCGCCATTGTTGGAAACTGAGCTGGGCCGCGCTATGAATTCTGGGACAGCTTCTTCTTCTTCGGGGTTTAACAGCAGCTGGCATCCTTGTACATGCAGTGCTGCCATCTTCTGTTTCAGTCCGTTATTACACTCTTAAATCCTGCTACTTATTCCTGCGTCTTTTGGGATCTTACAAAGCTTCAAACGACGCGTCGACTATTAAATCAGTCGTCGACGATTTTGATAGTCGACGTAATCGTGACTAGTCGACGTAATCGTGACAGCCCTACAGTCTGGCGACCTATCCACAGCGTGACCCCGTGGAAGTGGGAGAGAAGAGTTTTTTCCAGATGACCCTACTTGCTAAGGTCACGTAGTCAAAGAGCTACATAATGTTATGCTATCGAAATAAAAACGATAGATTTAATGCTATGTTGGCCCACACCCTGCCCACCATCACTGTGTGCACACTGGGAATGTGTTATTCCAAAGGGAAGCACTACACCCGCTTGTTATGGTGTCACATTTTGCCTGTGTGTACTTTAGCTTGTACATTAGTCCATGATGTTGGACAGAGGAGTCTCCTTTCAGAGACAAACACGCCCTCTGTCCAAGGTTGGCACGTGTATATTGGAGCTGTTAGCTCTGTCCTTTGTTAGCTCGTGTCGTCGATGTATGTGTGTTTCTTTCATGCTTTGTTTCACAGGCCACCAAATGACTGGATCTTATTACTAAATCACATTTTAAATATGTAGTGTCTCTCCCTTTCTGTACTACAAAGTGCATCTGACTGAATATCATGTGGTTAATAAGCTGTCCAGTGGAGCTAAGCATCCACTGGTTTACCATTCGTGCGTCGGTTAAGTCCAGACTGGGTCTGCAGAGGGTCTTGGGGACTTGGTTTACTGGAGCATAAGAGGTGATTTTTCTGCATGCTGTGAAGCAGTCATGTGTTTGTCTTTCTCTGCTTCAACTGTTTTATTTTGTTACAGACTTTAAAGACACAAAGATTTGTATAAACGTGGGATGTAACAGTTGCTTTACAGCCACAGAGTGATACTCCTCTGGGGTAGAGCAGGTACTGATGCAAAGGCTGGTGGTTCCACCCCCCAGTCTGCCTGCCAAACATTGCTGGGCAACATGTTAACCCCAGGTTGCTCTTAGTTAGTGAGTACTTAACAGCATAGAAGACAGTGACTGTGGCATGTTGCATGGAGCGCTTTGTGGGAGCGCTCCATGAGAGTGAGTCCATTTCCCATTCCCTCTGTCCTTTTCACAAAGAGGCTTACTGGCAAAGTGGGAGGAGCTTCTTGAGCAGTAGGAATGTTTACAGTTTACAGTCGGTGGTGAGAAGTCAGATGATGATGATGATGACCTGTGTGTTTGCTGGTTTTGCTAAAACACACGAGTGACTGGCTCTCAAACATAAAACCACGAAACAACCATGTTCCCACTGACATGCAGGTCTGAACCTGCAAGGAAACCAGACGGCTTTCTTAAATGTAGAGCTGGGCGATAGAACGATAACGATATGTATCGCGATATAACTTTTACTCGATAGAGAAATTAAGCTATCGCGATAGACCTCGCCGCTCTTGTCCTCTTAAAAAAAAAAAAAAAAAAAAAGGTCAGCCAATCCAAATTAAGTAGTGCAGAGCCGAACCAATCACAGCCGCAGCGTCACGTCGCGTGACTTGTTACGTACAGCACAAGTGCCAAGCCGCAAGTGTGTTTGTTTGGGAAGCAGCCAGCGGGTAATGGAGGAAATGAGTGTGCCGACTAGAAAAATCAACCGAGCGTGACCGAAGAGAAAACAGATGATGGTTCCAACGCCGGAGAGATTGTCGAACGGAAGAGCCATAGAAGTTCCGTAGTGTGAAGGTATTTCGGCTGTTTCAAGTCTGACAAAAAACAGAGTAGCTGCACTGTAAATGTGCCGAAAGCAAGTCTGGAAATACAATAAACTGGTGCATGCGTCACACTGTGCGCCACGTTATTGTTTCGGTGAAATGAATTTCTACAATACTGTTAATTCTACTCTCTGCAGTGTTTAAATGCTTACATATACACACAGTTACTGTCCCTCCACACATACGGCTCGGTTCTGCTTCTATGCCCCAGCTTTGTTTACTTTTTCCCACCGAGGCTTCTAGACTTCTGATTGGCCAACATTTCTGCACGGGTAGGAATCTAGCGCCACCTGCTGCTTTGGCATGTTCATAGCAGCGTTTTCCTTCATTTCTGCCTTTATGTGTGGACGGGATTATTTTTTAAAACGAAAACGGAAAATCTCCGTTTTCAAAAATACCCGTGTACGTGTGGACGTAGCCTCAGTGTCTGACTGGAAGCGCTGATTCGTCATTCGGCTTTTGTCAGACTAAAGTAACTGTTAAAACTGTTTGAAAAGCTCAGCTATACAACAAGGAGAGATTGAGAATTTCCTTTTAGTTCTCAGTTTATTTGATATTGACAAAAGTTAGTCGGTTTTGTCTGTTCTTCTGTAAAACAAACTAAGATTTATTTTTAGAATTAATATTTTGTTTCTAAGTGGAATTGACAGTTTAGTCTGTTTTGTTTGTTCTATTTTGAAACTTAAACACTTTAGCGGCTGCCTTTTGTGTAGTTTGCAATATTTGCCTTTATTTATCTGAAAAAGTCTCATGTTCCTTAAGTACATCTACCCTGTTGAACTTATTATGGGAAATAAATATTTAAATCAAAACAAGCTGCTGATTATTTCACATTTTACTTGTGAGCAACGGCACATTTAAATCTTACAAATATAGTTATTTGGCTTATATCGTGATAGATATCGTTATCGCCTGAAATGAAAAAACCATATCGTGATATGAAAAAATCTCAAATCGCCCAGCTCTACTTAAATGTGTCTGATCTAAACCAGTCGAGTCACTGGCGTCCCAGAAGCCCCTGCAGCGGGGCCGGTCTGGCCCATTGCATGGCTTTGCATTGTGTTTGGCACCAGAAACCATTTAGATTCAACTTTGATTAAGATGTCAGCTTCTTCACAGGACTGCACGGCACTGATCCAGAACAGGTCCCTGTGCTGATGATAACATGCGTATGTTGCAGTAAATGTTCTCAGATGCTTCATGACTGAGTGTTTGGCTGTGACAGTAAGGCACATCACATGAGCCTTCATGTCTTCATGAGTGCTGGCTCAGGTGACACAGAGGATGTGTAAACGCTACACTCAGACATGTCGTGTTGTGTAGTTCCTTTACATATTTGGGCCAAACTATGTCTTTTCCAGTATGGTGAGCTACAAACACTCAGGCCAATGGATAGATCTGACTTCACTGCTATCTCTGAATGTGTTTTTGTTGGGGCTCTTCAGACTGTTCATCCTGGGCTCCTATGACAGAGAAACCTACGTCCATTGCACCCTGGAGCTGAGCAGCCACCAGTGGAAGGAGAAGGCTCGCAGTTCCATCAAAAAGGTAAAGGAAGCTCGTTTCATAACTTTATTCTCCATGTCTGTCAGACATCGATGTTGTAATACAGGACGGTGGTATCAGTAATATATGCAGTGGTCAAAGTAAGGACTGAACACAGGAGCAACTTTCTAAATATGCTGTTGATATAAAATTGTCACAGTAACAACCCAGCCAGTCCACACATCAAACCACAGACGTGTAATACTGAGAAACAGCGCGGCGTCCTGTGCCTCCTCTTCACATCCCCACTTCTGATTGGTCCTGGTTATTCCCAATGACAGGACAGGTCGAGGTCATTTCTAACGCACAACGTTACTCTGGATGGAATTTGGCCGTCTCTGGTGTCTTTCCATCAACGTTTTAGAAAATTCAGCAGTGCCTCATCCGAGCCAGGAGAGGGCGCTGCTGCACAGCTCTACATGAGCACAGAGAGCAGGCTGTATCGAGGGCGTTTTGATGAACTGTGTTGCTGTGTTGGGCCCTTGAAAGATGAGACCCAGGTTTTTGCTCACATAAGTAGTTATATTTGCATTGGTACCAATCCAGTGTGATTGCTGAGGCTGTCAGCTGAGTTTCAGAAGGACACTTTTCAATTAGACTGATGGGTAATGCACAGATTATTTAGCAGGTGCTGCTTATTGGACACCTTGTCATAGTGACAGTAATGCAGGCTCATTTTGATTCTGGCTGATGAGATTGTCCCATTGTTGACATTTTACACGGCAAAGAAAATGTTCAGGTCCCCGCGGCAAACCTTTTCTAATTGCTGCAATTTAGAGATATTACAGTTATCACATCCGGCTTGTTTGACTAATGAGCATTTTTAGAGGGAAATGTCAGACTTAATTTGTGGCTCTGGCTCCAGCCTGGTGCCCGTATACTTGCCACACACTCCTGGATGACATTTGCGATGCCTCAAAAGATGATTTCTATTGTGGTGAACAGTAATTGGCCTGTACTGTTTTCCCATGTGGTGTTTAATGACTTTGGGAGAGTTGCATTGTCGTCCAGCAGGGGGCATTAAAATCTCAGCACCAAGCGTTTCTTTTATTCAGCGTTTACACGACACGATCAGAGCATCTGAAGTCCAGCTTTTTTATTTGTCTCTCTGTGAAATCTCACATGACGTCTGTGTTCATGGTTATAAGCAGCAGTAAAAAGACTTTTACTCACCAAAGCTGGACTTAGATGGTCTGTATGGACTACACAGTGTGCCATTATTATAAGCTCGTCAGCGCCACAAACACAGTCGACAGGTTGAATGTGTACGCTCGGATACGTGAAGACGAGGCCTAGCAAACAGAAATGTGCTCCGCCTGTATCAGTGTCTGCATATCAGTGATTCAAAGACTTCACAAAGGAATGAAAACGGCTGTAAAGCTGCTCTGTAGAGGACAGTTAGATGCTGTGTTTTCCTGCTGCTGCCTTTAGGGGACGCCACAGCAGATCATCTGCTTCCGCCTCACACTAGCGCAGCATCCTGTCACACATTCATGTCTGCCTTCACTGTAGCCATGAATGTTCTGGCGTCTCCATCTATTGCTCCTGCCTGGCAGCTCCATCCAACACTTTGTCCAGTGTTTGTGTGCTGTCCCTCCATGAACGTGTGTTTATGGCTGCAGGAGGCTGAACTTTGTCCTGCACTCGTTTCTAATCTGCTCCTTCCTGCTCGCACCAAATCAAAGCCTTCCCGTCTTCAACTGTGCCGCCTCCAGCTCTGCCTCTCCCTACCATACATCATAGCAGGTCTCCATCTTGTAAACTGCACATTCACTCTGCTATCCTTCTGTCACAGCTAGACCCCGTTCCCCGTCGAGGCCGTGCCCGTCGAGGCCGTGCCCGTCGAGGCCGTGCCCGTCGAGGCCGTGCCCGTCGAGGCCGTG